AAAAAAGGTGAAGCTAATCAGTCTATAGCTACAGGAACAATGATGTAGCTTTTTTTTGGCTGCTGTTATTGTCTAAACATCATAGTTAAAATATAATATTTCAATGTAAAAAATAACAAAATTCGATTTCATTCTTTTTGACAATGCGTGAAACCACAAAAGTATTAAAAAAAGAAAAAAAAAGAATAATATAAAGTATCGAGTATAACTGAATACTTGTATGAGGTCTTAGAGATTAATAAGTAAACAATATTCAAACTTAACGAACCGAATTGATGAAGAAAGAAAATAAATTTTCGACTAATACAAAGAAAAAAAAAAACTTTTTTTTTTTATGTCAGCGTATTTTATCATTAATCTAATTCAAATTGAATTTCTATCATCAAATTATTTTCATTATTAGTTTTAACTAATTTATTAAGTTTAATTTTCATTTGTCTATCATTCAATGTTGTCATGAAGTCAATATATTTATTATAATCAATTATAGAATTACGATTTAAAATCAAATTTCGAAAATATTCTATTTTATTTGTTTTTTAAAGATAAAAATTATATCGACTTTTCTTTGTTCTTTTAAACAACAATTATAATAAAATATATTATAGTTACCAAAACTAATGTATCTTATTTTTACAGCCAAACCAAAACATCTTGATATAGTATTTCATTTTCTACGATATAGAATGTCAATACATAGCATGTTATAGATAAGTACCGAAAGCAGTGAGTTCCTTACAGGTAGACATAAGTAAATTTGTGTCTGAAATATTTTCTTTTATAAAATTACTCAACAAAAAAACTTTCGATTTTTTTTATTGCATTTTTCAATGTCAAAAAAACAAATTTTTAAGCAAAACAATAGTTGTTCTGTAGATGATTTGCTTTCATGCCTTGTATAATAACCATTTTTCATTCTGAAAAGTCGAATTGAGCAGACCTATTTTACATGCTTACTTAGATATATTCCTATTTTAAGTTAACAGATACTATCTAGAAATATACTGATATTTTCATGGTCAATGTAATACGCAAGTTTTCAGGTTCTCTTTCTCTTTCTACTCTCTACTTTCAAATTTACGTTGCCTTAATTGAAAAATAACTTATTCTTAGTAATTAACGTTTTCTTGACTATAAAGAAAGCATTTGCGAGGCTCATATGTCGAGAATTTTTAAGAGAATGTTGTATTTGAGGAATGACGGTGACTAGAGAACTAATATTTTTCCGCGAACGTCGCAATTTACAGATGAAATTTACAATATTTAATTTTCTAGTTTAGTCTGTGATTTTCACTTCAAAAGACGTTTATGTCGCACTAAAATATTTATAAAGTTCATTAAATAAAAAGTCAACATCAGTTTAACGAAGTTAAGTTCTATATCATAGGCGAATGTTTTGTCAATGATCATATATTGTTCAAATTTGTTGAATATCGTTAATTGTATAGTTCGTTATCATTTTATGAATCATCATTGATACTCTTAAATTTTCTTTTTTCGATGGATTAGTTGTACTTTTAGAAAATATGTCACTGTCGTAATATATTGCATTTTTTTAAACTATTCTCATTCATAGTCTATGATGTTTTATTTCAAAGAATGCTCACTAACATTAATGTGTACAACAATATCCTTTACATCTATTAAAAATACATAAGATTACGCTTGTCTATTTTACGTTTGGTCTATAGTCATTGAAAGAAACCTATCACGTATCTAATAAATGTATCATCAATATCTTGACATCTAATCTTATCGTATAATACAAGAAAAATATCGTTTTTCTTAAATTATCTTCATGTATATAATTTATAACTGTCACCAAGATTTAATACAATTCACACTCAGAATTTTACATTTAGGTTTATAATTACAACAAATGAAAACTTTGACTTTTTATTGTTCTGTAATACAAACAAAGCTTTCAACAGACACTAGCATATTAAAGAGCGTTATTACCATTTTGCAAATTATTATAATATTACACGATTTTTTTTGTCTTTAAAATGTTGTATTTTCCATACAGTTCTACTTCAATTTGTAATTTGTGACAGAAAATTATTCAAATATATCAAAAAAGAAAAAATCTATTTCATTTCAAAACCAAGTAAAATATAGAAACATATATATTGTTTATTCTTGCCACATATTTTACGTGAACGAAGGCGAGAAAGAACATGTAAAATAAGACAAACAAGCGTTTATGATGGAGATGTATAGTTATGACAAACTATAATGGAAATATTGTATTTTAATTATTGAATACATTAATTCTTTAAAATATCTTTTGTTATGGTAATATAATCGAGAAAGTTTTGTTTTTCAAAGTTGTTTAAAAATAGTTTGTAAAATTAAAACTTATTCGATTTATGATAGAAAATGAAAACGGACTTGATGAACAATCTTCAACTAGATAATACATTTAAATTAACTTTCAAGAACATTATTCAAAAGTCTTATCTCAAAAAGTCCTTTTTGTTTGTTTTGAATAAGAATTTTATTATCCATATTCGATAATATTATTTTTATCAACAAAAGAAAATTTCGGTATTTCCGTTCCATAGAAAATTTCTAGCAATGAGTAGTGGGTCCAACCGTTTTAGTTCTGATTTCACATTCAGTAACTTAAATGTAATATAACATTTTATCATTGGAAATGAGCTTGAAACATCTTGCATGACCCCCCATTATTTCAAATTCTGTTGCTTAGAGAAAGAAAAGGATTTTTATATTATCACAAATATAACAGCAATTAGTAAAATGATCATTAATCAATAATTTTCATATAAACTTAGAGTTCCTTGTTCTGATATTGTTGAATCCGAGATCATCTTGTTCATATCTCTATTATTCTTTGGCTACGGTATCCATTAACTTCTTCTTATCTACAATAACTAAATAACATCTATGAATACTTTCCAGTTCATGAATAATTATATTACTTATAAAGTTACCAAATTTTTACCTCCTTTTCTATTCATAATATAAGAAATAAACTTTTTTCTGTCTTGTTAAAAATGAATGCTACAAATCAATAAATCTATTTTTCTTCTAATAGAAACTCTCATTATTCTAATCATTAAAATTAAATATTCAAAGTAATAATTTATTTGTATATGAATATGATCATAAAATACGAATATCTTTAATCTTTTTTTTTTAATAGAAGATCGAATTCAATTTTAATTTCATTGCTTTCTTTATAAAAAAAACAAGAAAATAACTTTCATATAGATAAAGAATTAAAGAAATTCTAAGATGATTATTCGATTAATTTATTAACTTTAAATATTATTTCTTATTTTAATCTTTGAATTGATTCTTTGTTATATTTGATATGAGAAAAACGATCTATTCTTGATATTATTTTGATAAAAGATGTAGTCTCTCTCATCATTTTTCAAGTTGATATTGACATAGGTGCTTTTTCTTGAAGTCACTTTTCTCTATTGAATGAATTTGATTGACCACTTGTCAATTCCATTTAGTGTCTCAACAAGATTCAAACTCGAAATTGATCTTACTTTTCAAAATTTTTTATGTATTTATATATATATGACACTTTCTTTTATATCCTTAAGCAATAGTAATTAACAATAACATCGATCGGGTATAATCAAAGAGAAATGCATTACATTTATGAGACTGACGAATGTATGAATATGAAAAGAAAAGAGAGTCGACAAGAGGAGGAGCATGGATGGGAGGTCAATTAGGAAAGAATAACATTGACACATAGGAGGTCTTACTGATTAGCCTTTTGATCATATATTTTTTTTAGGAACATAAAAAAAAAACGAGCAGGTGGCGTCAGTAAAATTGACTGTGCAGCAGGTGAATAAGCGTGTCGTTGATCTATCTATATATCTTCAATCTAATGGCTAAAATGAGAGTCGATTAATCGAACATGCTGTGACACACCAATCACAGTGATGAAGATCCTCCTCCTTTAAAAGCATCGTTAACTCATATAGAGATAGACGAACGACAACTGTGTTTTACTCTTCTTTTTTTTTTATTGTCAATGCATATAGAACAGGCGATAGTCAATAATCGATATATTATTATCATTATTGACTTTGATTGTGTCATCTAATATGAGAAGTCAACCTTTTTTCTATTGTTTCATTAATCAAAATATGATACTAGCAGAGAACAAAAAAAAAAGAACTTCAGTCATTGGTGAAAATTTCCCATTGGATTGTATCGTATTACAACATAGTGTCTAATCGATTAGTGAATTAAGTTCAATGACTCGTTCGTTTTTATTTATTTTTTCGTGTTCTTTGTTGTGTTTGATTTCTCTAAAGGCGTTATGAATTTGTAATTGACACTTTTGTGTCTATTCCCTTGATGAGAGAATTGACAAGGTGTACTAAACTATGTTTGTGATCATACAGATCAAACAACAAGGAATGCATATTCTCAAGTGGTCCCTTTCTTTCTTTTATTCAATCAGATGTATATGTATGCAAACGCAAATGACTTTTTGATGATCCATCTATAGCTCTTTGTCATATATACAAAATGATGACAAACTTAATCCTACTTATATTTTTAATTGTGTATTATATACAATATGAGAATCAATCACTATATCGTTATTGATGGGACTATCGTCATCATATTAAATGAAAAGAATAGCGAATAAAACATTCAAGGTGTACTAATCGAGACAATAATGTATACATATATATATATGTATATAACCCGTCAAAAGAAATAAATGTATAAATATACTCAATACTTGCTTTTCTTATATAATTTCAAAACCATGATTTATCTCATACAATAAATATTAATATCCATCTTAGACAAAAAAAGAAAAAGCTATGATTTGACTTGTTTAATCAATACTTCATATGTACAAAAAAAAAAGAAAAAAAAGAAATCCATACAAAGCAACGACACAAAAAAAAAAGAAATTCAAAACTTTACAAAACAAAAGAAAAAAAAAGAGAGAGCCTCGCCATTTTACTGTAAAATGTTAATGTATAATATTAAAGTTTTCCTACTGATGTAGGTGAATAATAAGATGAAAAAATAGATGTTGGATATGATGCTTTCATTGATGATAATGATGTATGTGCTGTACAAAGATGTTCAAGTAAACTCATATGATTTGCAAAACGTTTTCCGCAGAATCCATCTGGAACATTTGATTCCATCCAATTACAAACAAATGCGGGTGGCGGCGATGGATTTAATGGTGCTAAAATTGAATCCATAAAATAAGGAGATCGTTGAGATGATGATGATGATGATAATGATGATGGAGTAAAAGCTGAATTTGATGAATGTCCAAATGATGTTGTTGAAAAGAACGGTGATGAAGTAAATGTTTTACTTAAATGATGAAGAAGAAGAGAATCAAACATAAATGGTGATGGAGGATAATAAAATGATTGTTGATTAGTTGAAGGTAATGATGATGATGATGATGATGGAATTGTTGGTTGAGGAAATGCCATCCTTTTTGATAACGGTGGTGATATTGAAGATGTTGAAGGTGCATTACGTTTTAAGGATTTTTTTCCTTCAGATGGTGAATTTGATTTTTGTTGTTTTGATATTATTGAAAGTGTTGAAGATGATGATAATGATGATGATGATGATAATTCTTTACCAATATTATTACATGCTTGAGCCATTAATACTAATGGATTTTCTTTTTTTGGTGAATATTGATCAATCTATAAGATAAATTTTTAAGATAAATTAGAAAACAATATATATACGAAAAAATTATTTTTACTGTTGGATTGATATATTCACCATATAGTTGTTGTTTCTTCATTGATGTTGTCATTGAGTCAAGTGTGTAGATTCGTTTAAGAGTAAATGCAAATGATGAGTGATTGAAGGTGGAGAAGAATAGTATACACAGGCGTGCGTTCGATCGATCATAAATCACTATGTTTCTCTCTATTCGATAGATCAGGGAGAAGAGAAAAAAAGGAAAAAAGAAAAAGAAACGATTTATATATAGTCATTGGTTGAGAACGACAGACGTCGATTTTCTTTTCGGCCAATGTCGATTTGGATGATGAATATTGATCGAGCTAGACTCTTTTTTTTCTTTTCTTTTTTTTTCTATTTCTGTTTTGATTGACAAGTGTCTGTTGATGAAATATTTGAAAAAAAAAAACTTTTTTTTTTTTTTTTTAATGATTGATTATTTTACATATCAATTTTCTCTTATTCTTTTTGATATTAATGGAATTTGATCGATAGTCATTTATTTTGTTTTCTACCAGTTGTGAGTTCTTTTTCTTTTTTTTTTTTTTGCTATTTTCGATCGATTTGATCGATTGAGTAAATGTGGGCAGTCTCATCTGTCTTTAGTGAACATATAATGATATCGTTTTCGCATCTCTTTCATCTTTCTTCTATGAATCGATCGACGAAACACAAAAATCATAAATCTCGATTTAAGTGCCTTTCGTTGTCAGACATCGATCATTCAATGTATATTATACATATACAAGAGAATTCTCGCACTTGTTATTACATGACACAAACATAGCCGCCGACATGGACAAACTTCTTCGATACATTGTCTATTAGAAGAGAGTCGGCATAAAGAAGAAGAAGAAAAAGAAAATTACTTTGGACGTGCGAGAAAGAACATAATTTGAACAGATCAAAGAGATGAAGTTTGTTCTGTCCAAGATTAATGATACGCATATTGTGTATGTGAATTGACATAAATATACACACGTAGGGAGTCGATCATATATCCGAAGAAATATTTTATCAGAATTGTGTATAAAGATGAACATCATATCAAACACACCATGACACTAAGTGCTACTAAACAGAATGATCAATGATAAAACATCAAAAGAAAATAGACTCAGATTTATTTTATTTTATATCGATTAATTACATCATATATCATATTGTTCAAAGAGAATCAAAACATAACGGAATATCATTTATTTATCGTTTATCATAATCAAATATATTGATGTTAAGATTAAGAACAAAAAAACAAAAAAAGTCAGTTACTGAATCATAACAAGTGACAATTCATATGTAAATAAAGTTTATTTTTATATTTTCAATAGACAAAAATTTGAAAACTATTCAAAATATCAATGAATCATTTGAAATCATTTTTATGTGACATTTTTTGTAATACATATTAAGTCACATATTGTTATTGAATTGCCATACATATTATAATACAAGTATGATGTTATTTATACTATCATATTCGTTTTCTTTTCTATTGTGTTTTATATCTATGCGAAAATGTAATTTTGTTCTTATAGAAAGCATCTATTGTATTACAACGACAATGATAAATCGTTAGGGCTCGATGACTGATACTTTTTTTTTTAAACTTAATATTTTCATTAGGAAAAATAAATATAAGCTGAAAAAAAAACAGATGACGAGATACTTCAAAAAAATATGTGTTTTTCGACTAATTGACATGCATTAAGTGATGATACATAACCAGCACATGTGTGATTGTAAGCTATGCATATCGTGTAGAAGCTATATTTTCTTTTTAAATACAATATTCTTTTTACTGATTTTTATTTTAAAATAATTATCGCAATTAATTATAAAATTATCTTTCGTGATGGATGATGATTAATGAGCAAACTTCTTTTTATATAATTATTTACATGACACGATTTCACTATAGAAAATCTTCGATACAATAGATGCAGAACTTTCAGTTCGATTAAGTGGTAAAAAGCTTTAGTAAAATGGATACGCATAGTATATCAGATCGTAAAGTATTTCAAGTGATATTGTACTGTGATATTATTTCAAAGTATTCTCGTGACATCATTTCCAGTACTGAAGAAATTAAGGAAAAATCCATGAATTATAATTAGTTTTTCGTTGATCATAAATAGAAAACAACTCTTTCTTACATAGAAATCGATATCTTTAATTATTTATTATAATCAAATGAATGAATATAAAATCTTTAATGAATACTCCTATGCAATACACAATGCATGCATAGCACCATGTGTCTAGACACAAAGAAAGAAACGGAAAAAATTGTTCTATCCTTTGCTCTATCAATTAAGATATCGGTATCGAACATGACGCAAGATTGCGTCACTGATCCAGAAAATCAGTGACAGGTCGGTGGTCATGGTCAAAAAACAGTTTTCGAAGTCTATTCAAGGCAGTAGAACTTCTTTTACTGTCATTTTTGCTTAGAAAAAATGAGAAAAACAATTTTACAAGACGATGATGATCGTTGGTTTGCCGAACAGATGGATCTACTAGTGGCAGGGTATTTAGTTATAGAAAACAAATAGAGCTAGTTGTTCTAATAGAATGAAAAGAGCATAATTTAGAGATTTAATAGTTATTCAAAATCATAAGCATAAAAGATACGTTCAAAGCGAAAAATCTCTCTTCATCTTGGATGACGCACTATTTTTGTTTCTTGATGATTTCGGCTTTTGCGAATACAACTAATTAATTGCAATCACAAACCAATGTAATGTCTTTTGTCGAAAAATTCGAAATGATTTGTTTTGCTCTGAATCAATAATATAGTCAAAAACACAACTAGTGAAAACTTGGCACTTGTGCTCGCATATCTGATAGGTATGTGTAGCGATGTGAAAAAAGTAAAAGTACAACAACTCTTTGTTACGGTGCAACATTCTCGTATTCAAAGCTTTTAAATCGTAAAATTCTTGATTCCATGTGTTTTTAATTGCAACAATTTGACTTTCCTTGATTTCTTCACGTCGTTGAAAATTTACAAGCGAACCGACAATCGTCGACAGAAAGATCTTTCAGTGTAGTATCTGTGAAGAGTTATTTTTGAGAAATCCTCTAATGATTGAGCAGTAGGACACATTATCGAAATGGCTGAAACTGCTTGGACAAAATCAAAATATAATTGGGAGTATGAAGTAATAAATCAATAGGTCTGCATTAGAGCTGCGAATAGGACACTTTTTTTCAGCCTGATTTGGCCTTGCCCGAAGAAGAAGCAGATCTGGTGAAAAAACACCTAATTGACGTGCTACCTGATCTGCAGGCGTTTGATCGAATAGAATGATATGATTGAATTTTTTACTGTGTTTGTGAATCCAATCGCACAATATGCTTTTGACATTTTTCTTACTCTCTCACATATAGTCTCGGTCACACATTGATATGGAACTGAAATATAAAAGCAAATTAGTTAAAAAGAATCATCTATCATCAAGAAAGTATATGTATCCTTTTTAGTTAATTTACACTGTCACTTTGAATCTTCATGGTTAAAGCTAAACTAGAATGGATGAGAAACATTGATATCATTAACAACCAATGTAAAATAAATTAGACTAATAGTCAGATTAAAATCGATTTAAACCATACACTTTTTTTGTCGATTATAATTAAAAATAGTCCAAAAAAACTTAATTTTCATCAATTATTTCTATTATTTTTGATTATTATCGACTGAAAGTTCATGAAAAAAAAATTGATTATAATCGATCAGGAATTGATTAAAAACTGATTAAAGGTCTATTTAATCTGATTATTCGTCTAATTTTTTATACATGGGAAAGATGACTGTTACTCATCATAGTATTGCGTGAAGGGATGTATTCAAAATTCAGTGAACGATAAGACTTGCATAAAATGGTACAGATCGACGTATGTCACTGGTAGTCGTCATAGAATTGAAGCACATGATTTGAACTTTGATTATCAGAGTTTGAAGTAAAAGATTAACTTCACCAAATTTGTCGCTGTATTTTAAATCCACAATACCCATTCTAATCAGAATGGAACAATACATAAAAAAATTTGATTAGGTGTCATACCAGTCACAAACTTTTGCGTGGCGTGAAAACTGGGCAGGAACAAGATCAGGATGATAGTTCTGGTCTGCACTGTTATCAACCGAGATATTCGCGAGTGCTCTGTTGTTTTAGTTGAGTGTCGCGATATTGTCACCCTGTTGCTAAGTATTCATCAATACGTGCGTCCTAGTGCTAGCATCTATAGCGATCAATGAATCGTGGACACGAGTATTTTGCAGAGCCCTCACCAAAATACGAATTAGATGGCTAATCACTCTTTAAATTGCATGGATTCAAATATTTTGATACACACGCAAAACATTAAAACATGTCGATATGTATGAAGGAAAAAAAAATTTAAACGTGTCAACTCATTTCCGTGCTGCGTACTCATCTCAATCAATTCATGTAGCATCAGCGTTTTGGCTATCGTCCAATCGAAAATCTTATTGCCACGATATAAGACAAATGTCCTGTGCTATAAATCTCTGTTATTGTATTATCTTTTTTTTCCAATAAGCTGCTCACACAGTAGTTCATGACATCTTGAACAGCGGCATCTGAATCAATAGGGCAAACGATCCATTAGTTGTTCTTCTTTCCTTTCCTTATGTCTAGATAGACAATGGAATGTTATATGTGTAGCATGTACAAGTACTCGTTCGACCAATTGATATGATACTCACTTCTATAAATATGGAAACAGAATCAAAAGAACGATGATGGTGCGATTGGTATTTATCACCATCAAATGAAGAATATTTCCGAAAAGATGAACAATTTTTCTTTCGATTTATAATATTAGTTCCGATTGTTGGTATGTTACTTACATGGTCATGATGGAATAATCAAACATTGTTAGTATATTTCTTTTTTTCATTATCAAAAATATTTCAAGTCGAATTATCAAAGTGAATAGTTTCCACTAAACACTCTTTATTGTTATCATTCGAGAAACGACACATGATTTTTTTTTCTTTTGAACGTATCAGTAAGAGTTGTATATTTAATGGAATATCGAAATGCTATTTCTGTTGTTGAACAACATTCTAGGACGAGTATAAAGAAAGTGTTTAATGATCGCATCTAGTATCAAGTACGACTGTATCTCCTTTCCTCATGTCGTATACGACATATATACCACAAAAGTGACAGACCAGACATGATTGCATGTGATGCCGTGTACTGTCGTATTCACATACTATTTTCACCCAAGAGATACGGATTTTCCCCTCTGCCATAAACAGGAAATATTATTATATTTTTCTTTTGGCAAAAAAATCTTATAGTCTTTCATTTAATCTAGATAAAAATAAAATAATTTATTTTTAAATAAATTCTTAACTTTCATCAGTATTGTTAACATTGTTTCAAAAAACAAAATCATCTTTTTAAAAGGAAATACTTATAATTATATCAGTTGCTGAATTCGATATGAAAAATCTATACGCTTAATAAGTGCAATATGACTTACGAATGATTGAGAATCGAATTCAATCGTGTATGCAGTCGTATACGATCGTTTACGATTGTACCCTTTCGATTTCGGATGATAGGTTTCAATGAGTTTTATTGTACTGCCAGATGTATACTTTTTCTCGTATAGAATTGAGACAAAGAAAAACATATTTTCTCAACGAAAAACTTTCTCAAAAGTTCTTCCTTGTGAATGCAATATTTCTTCAACCAAAGGTAGTTAGATACAAATTCTTGTTCCAGCAATAAAACAAAAGATCGTACAAATTCTCTTTCCTTTTTTTTTGCAACACTTTTATATATGTTTCATGTTAATCTATTTTAGACTTCCCTCGTGGTTCAGTCCAATAGCAACTACTATTCTTATTAATGTTTGTTTGTTTCTACCGTTTTATCAAAATAGAATACTTTCTCCGATTCATTGATTTATTATAATTATTTCTCCTTGTGCGATTACTTGCTGTATTATCTTGTTTATAATGAAAAGTGAACTTGAGGTGAACGTTTTATGTAAAACAGACGAGACTATTGACGATATATTGTATTTATTCTGCAAGTGGTCCGATTCTTTGTGGTGAGATCTAGTTCGTGATGCACCTACTTTCGTATTAGCTATCTGTTCAATAATTTCTGCTCTTTCATTTGCTATTGAACGTTTTTCTTATACCTCGTTATTAATTGATGTGCTACTACAATCTTCTTCTGTCATTAACCCAATGGAGACAACGAAAAACGATGATTACCCTATATTTCATGTTGAATAGGTTAAATGTGTCATCGAAAAAGATTGTTTCAAAGCTGGACATCACTAAATGAATAATGTCATATTCATTATCATATTGTAGAAAACAAGATTTTGTCAAAAGTATTATTATAGAATATTCCTAGCTCAAGAGTAGTAATTTTTTCCTCGCCTTGGAAATCTATTAAATATTTGTAAATACTTTCGAAAACTTAATAAAGAAATAGTTACAAGTTTCTTTTTTTTAAAATAAACTTCCTGTGATTATTTCTATAAGAAGAGTGAACTTATAATCATTCCGAGAACTTTCAAAATACTGTATTTTCATAGATGCATTCTGTTTGATACTTTGTTTTAAATCACTAATCGAGTCGTTGATCAGCAATTTCCGAATCATTTGATAGAGGGTTACGAATGACAAAATTATGAAAAGAAAAAAGAAATCATGCTCAGTAAGACACAATATTATCGATTTTCAATACTTTTTAAAATGCAAATACTACCTGTATGTCTTTGTTAAAAACTTGGATTTTCATTGTGAATGATTTTATGTGATTTTGGTTCGAATGTATTAATGCAAAATCAAAAAATGTTTTCTAGCAAAGAAAAACAACGACAAAAATTTAACATAGGTAAAAGTATAATCATTGAAATATTTCTGAAAGACAATGTCATGCTATGATGATATTTAGGAACAATTGCCTTAGATTAGAATTCTATGATTCGTGCAAACGATTATGACGATGATTAAAACGTGAAATTCGACAGAAAATATTCCTTTATCGAGCAAAATATTTAAGAATTATTTAATTAGCTTGAATGAGTGATATGATACGATCGGAGTTCTGCGAAATACTCGGGTTTTACTGAAACTTTTCTGCATAGAACATTTAGAAGTGAGATATTTTGAAACATTTTTGGAAGGAAACTCGAAAAACGTTTGTCTCGTAAGACTCTAAGTGCGAAACATCTGTATATCCACATCCAACACCTCGTCAAAGTAAAAGTCGTTTTTTTTTATAATAGCCCAACCTTAAATCAGAGAAGCTTTTGATTACTTTATTTTCATATTAATTCGTTGTGTCATATAAATTAGAGTGACATCAAGTAAATGCAGAATGATTAGCTCTATTGAGTAATAAAAAATGTTAGTAAACAGCCACTCTCAGATAGTCGGACTGTAAAGTATCTCGACAAAGCGTAGTAAAACGCACCAACATATTCTAGCGACATCTTTTTTTGCAATGAGAAAAATAAGGAAAATACATAAAATAAACTGATAAAATCTATTTATTTCTTTGTTGATAAAAAATATATGAAAAATTATCTGTTGAAAAATACTTATTAATCATATTAATTGGTTATAATAATAAAACGAATGAATATATAATCATCTAATGATTCATTATATTTCTTTGTATACATGATTATTATTTGAAAAATAAAAAACCTTGTCTGTTTAAATCTAGTCATAAATGTGTATAAATTCTTTAATGATTGATAACGATATAATAAAATGTCTCATAGAAGATTTACTCGATCGTATCTGTTTAATTAATAGTTCATCACCTATACAAATAAATTCTTCAACATATTATTCATCTAAATTCATTGAAAATAAATTTAATCAATCAATAAATATTCTTAATAATTCAATAAAACAATTATTATCATATGAATTAAATACAGTTGTTAATAATGGTCAATTAACAACAACATCAAATATTCGACATGGACGATATTATAATCCAACTACAACAATTAAACAAATAAATGATTTAAAAAAACGTTTACATTGGATTGAACAACGACAAATAATTATCAAACAATTAAATATTAATCAAGATAAAAAAATAAATGAAACAATGTATAAAAAAAGAAACGAAAAGTTTTTCTATATTATTAATAAAATTTTTTTTTTTGTGTGTTTTAGTTCGGATATTAATTCAATTGAAAATATTTGGTTTGAACATCGATTTAAAATGTTAGATAATTCATTAGAAGTATTAAAAAAACAAGAAATAGAACAAGAACAAGAAGAAATTTATGATGATTTATCATGTGCTCGTTGTAGAATTTATCAAAGAAAAAATGATACTAATAATCAATTATTAAAAAAACTAAAACATATTTATCAAGTTCATAATGAACATAATTATTCAAGAACTCATATTAATTATACAACACCAGGTTTTTAATCTATTTTATATAGAATATAATTAATTAATTCATTTTTTTTTGTTTTCAGAATCTGATCTTATTTTATCTTTATCAAAAATTGCTGATTCTATTGGTCATAATTCAAATTTAAATATATCAAAAAAACTTCCATCAACAACAACAATAACTACGACTACAACAAAGAAAAAACAACAACAGCCAAAACTACAATCATCTATATCTCTTATTAGTGGAGATACAAATAAAACTATGAAACGAACAATAGAAGAATCTCGAAATATATCGAACAGTAATTACATTTCAAATAATTATGATCTTACAAATAAACGACATAAAAGAATAGGTAATTGTCTTTTATTATATTTTTCTCCTTAGAAAACCAAATTTATGATACGAAAAATACTCTGACATTTTTTTTTTTGTTGAGAATATAGAACGATTAGATTTAACAGCAAAAAAAAAAGAATCGGACTCTACTATTATAAATTTTCGAACAAAATTAAAATTTCTTTCATACGATTGAACAATAAATTGATATTGTCCTTCATACGAGCGGATTTGCATATTGTGAAGGACCAGTGTTTTATCCAGACGGATGCCCGGGGGGGGGGGGGGCCGCGCCCCCGAAACTTGCGATCATCGTACTAAAAACACGTGGCTTGCTCTCCCGAAAATAATTTTTCGCCCCTCCGGAGAAAAAATCCTGGATAAAACACTGTGAAGGACAACATCTAATATCGTAGCAGCATTCAATGAACTAAAATATTTTTTACAAATGAATCTAAGTGAATTGTTTTTTTTTGTATTCGAACAAAAACTGTATGCATATAGCTGAAACATTTTTCAAAGAGATTACATTTGTTATGTACAGTTTGAAAAGTAAACAGAACTCTTAAAAAGATTTCTTCAAGAATTGTGAGATGTACAATTAGAAATGTATTTATCGAATGTCTATCTATGTAAATAATTATGAAATAATAAAAATTGTTTTTCTATTTATTTTAGCTTCTCCACAATCAACATTATCTATATCATCAATAAACAATAATAGTTCATCTCCTCATGAAATTTTAACACCTAGTTGGAGAATATTAATAAATAATGATTTTGATAATGTATTAAATATTGAAAAAAATTGTGAACAACAAGAAAATGAAGATATATCTGATGAAAGTTATATACATCGTCATATACGTTGTGAATTAGAACAAGAATCTTGGATAACAAATTCTCCAATATCAAAAAATATTTCATTAACATCAAATAAAAAAAGTGGAAAACTTCAAACATCATTATCTGTACCAAATGGTTTATCAACAACAACAAATCAAAAACAGTATAAATATCGTTTAACACCTAATGGAATTGCATATACAGAAACTATTGATACAAAATAATTATTTTCTTTCATTAAAAAAAATAAATCTATTAATCTACGGACATTAAATCTTCTTCCTTTTTCTCTTTTTTTTTGTGTGATTTTTCAACAAATTGTCGTTCTTTTCTATTTGATTGTTCTTCAAGCATATATGCTTGTGCTGTTGTATATCCGTTAGGTTTATTAATTGGATATGATAGTTTAATTCCAAGAATTTCTTCAATCATAAATGGTTTAAGCCAACAAACAAGTGGAGAATAACCAGATTCATAAAAACCTAATGGATGATAAAATAAATAACCATCTTCAGCTTCAATTAAATCTTGTTTATTATCAAGTATTGTACGATTAAGTATTTGAAAATGTTCATTTAATCTTGAATCACCATTTAATGATGTTAACATATAAAATCTACATTGACATTCTATTTGTGTTGAATAATCTTGTCCATTCCACATTATTATATCAATTATATGATAAATTGAAGAACGATTATCATATATACAATACAAAATTGTTTGTTTAGGTAATTTTGTAAACATTGTCCATATAAGATTACCATGTTTTCCATAAACTTGTGTTCGATGTGATTGAACAACAACAAGACAACGTTGTCCACGAGGACATGGTATTGCAAACCATGATGATATATCTTCAGGAGCTGTAAATAACCATTCAGCAAGCATCATACCGATAGGACAGGTGAATGATGTTTTTTTACGATGTTGACGAGGAGGCCATTGAGGTTTATTATTTTCAATTGTTTCATTATCATTAGTTAAAAAACGAAGTTGAGATAATTTTTGTTCTCGTTTTTCTTTTTGTCTTTTTAATACTTCACGACGTCGTTCAATTTGATCGGAAAGAGAAGAAATCGAATTTGTTTTTAATTTATATAATGAAAGAGATGATAAATCAACATTTGATATTATAGCTGAAGCCATTATTGAAATAATCTAAAACAAGAATATTTAAGAATAAAGGCTTTCGAAATAAATTTATTTTTGAAAAGTAACTTTTTTTTTTTCTTCTTCCTAACATATTATTATTTCGTAATACTGAAGCAATTTTTTTTGCTTCGTTTTTGTTTTTCTTGCTGTTTATAGAAAGAAAAAAAAGGTTACACACCCACCCACATACGCAGAATGTACACACACACACAGACAGAAATATACGACATAAGCATTAGTTTTTCTTTCTATGTTTGTTGTTGTTGTTTTTCAACAAGACGTTTTAATTGTCGATAATAATCATATAAAGGTTTCATAATACGTTTTTGTTCACTGGTTGTTGGTTTTGAATATTTATTTTCATATCTTAATAATTCTTGTTGCATATCACATTTTTCATCATATATTTGTTTTGATGTCATTTGTGAAAGATCATGTGGACGACCATGTCGTAAACGATATTTTCCCATACGTTCTTGTATATCACGTGCTTCAATTTCAAGTGGAGTTAATTGTTGTTGAGGAGAATTCCAAATATCTGATGATGGACTTGGAGCTGTTGTTGGTCGTTTTGGATTTATAGTTTGTATTGATGGTGATTGTTCATTCGATGATACTGGAGTATTTGAAGTATTTGATGTGACAAGTGGAGTTTTTGTTCCTGATGAAACTGGACGACGTGAACTAACTACACGACCACCACTTGTAGATGATGATGATATTGACTAAAATATAATTTTATATTAGATTTAATCAAAAGAATTTAAAATTGTATCTTTTTTATTTTTTTGATACTGGAAGCAGGAAAATTATCGTAAATCATTTCTTTACATTTTTCTGTTCACTTAAATCAATCTTTTTTTTTAATTTTATAGAGATTATCCATAAAGGACTGTTAAATAATAATCGCATTTTTTCGAACTCCTTAACCCTACTGAAGTCCAATGGGTATAACGTTTTTGGATCTAGTCTCAGTTATCAGAAAATTTTCAGATCTGCACTCGATCAGAATCAACCGAACGAACTTTAACGTCCAATGTAAAAATAAATTTCAGAAAAATCTTATTTGTTCATATGTACTGCTTCTTATTAAATAAATATATCCAAAATAGAAATGAATAAAGAACACTTTTCATAAGCAATAAATACTGCAAGTGTTTTATTTTTAATGAACAGAATATAGTAAAAAAAAGATGAAGTTTAATACGAATGACACTCGAAAAAGTCATATAACTATATTTGCATATATAGCATAATCATGCATGTTGTAAACACCATATTCATAAATCAGCTGATTAATTCAGTTCATTTTTGATTTAAAAATACTCTTTAAATGAAACTTAAATTAGTCAAATTTTACATGATTATTTTCATTAGAATTCAATCAGAAAGATTTTTCATTTAATCATGTAGAAGTTTTTATTCATTGTTGAATAGTTTTTTGTTTTTTTCTTCATAGTAAAATCTATTGAAATATATCATTTCTCATTATTGAAATTCGAAACTTAAAATGCAAAGATTTGAAAGAAGAAAAACAAAAATCTATCATAGTTTACAGTCTCATAAATCTATTTGATGAAAATTTCTAATAGAAACTTTTACCTCTTTAGGACTATAAACAGGTTTTTTTGGTTTAATCATAATTCCTGTATTAGTTGTTGGCATTATTGTTGAAACCGGTTGTTGTTCAAGTAATATATTTGGATTTAAAGAAGATAAATCAAGTAGAGGTACATTAGTTGTACGTTGATGTTGTGTATTTGAATGTTTTGATGATGATGATGATGTATAATCATGACGAGATTGTTTTGGTGTCATTATAATAGATGATCCATTTGGATTTGAATATGATGTTAAAAGTGTTGAAGCTTTTGGAAATGATTTTGTAAAACGATAATAATGATCAGATGGTGTTACACCACGAAATAAAAATCCATCAATAGCTAAATCAATACAATCACGTAAAAAATTATTTGTTGATATTGAACTCATTAATGACGCATTAGTATCATTAATTATTGACATTATTGTGTTGTTTCTTTTGCTGTATTTTATCTGATTAAGAAAAAAAAAAAAAACTAACTAACAATATGTTTTTTGACGAAGGAAACAACGGATTGCTCGTTAGCAACCAATCGTATTTTATTTTAGAGGATAAAAGTGAACATATGAATAGTTTACTTAATCTACCAATCATTTTTATCAATTCAATTGATTAGACGTTTTTTTATTTTGCTTAACATTCATTGTTTAATTTTGACATAAAAAAAAAAACCCAGAAATGGCTTCAATGACAAATACAAATCCTTTACTTGAATATTTGGAAGATGGAAAAGCTTATGATTTAGAATTTGGTGATACATGGAATTCAATTAATGATGGAAATTCATCGAAATATGCTTATCATACAATAAAATGTATTTAGACTCTTGAATTTTATTTTTAAGTTTGTTTTTTTTTGTTTTTGAGAATTTTTAGATGATTTTAAACCTGCATCTGTTGCAAAATCTGAACAAGCTGAATTAAGTGTTGGTTCAACACAAGATGTTTCAATTACATTACCAAATGTTGAAGTAAGATCATTAGATTTTTTTTTTATATTGAAAAAGAAATTATGATGTTTATTTACTAGGGTTCATTAACTCAATCAACAAAATTTTCTGGTAGTACAAAACCATATACACCAAAAGAATGTTTAATGATAATTGATCCTCGTACTGGTAAAATAGTACTTGAAAGATTATCAGCTAATGTTCGAGTAAAAAACGTTCGGTAAAAACTTTTTTTTTCTTTTATTATTTATTTAAGTAACATGTTTTTTTTCTTAAGAGCGGAAAATCGTCCTGTAATTCCACCAATACGACCTACAGTTCCACGTGTAAATGTAACTGATTCTCAGCCAGATAAAAAATCAACTAAGACAACAGTACCATCAATAACAACAGCAAATAAACCAACAACAACACATAAAATGACAAATCCTAGTAAACCAATAGTTACTGCACCTGTTAAACCAATGCCAAATAAACCATTATCTCCTATTGATGATCGACTTAGTGATGATGGATGTAAATTTATTTATTTGATTTTGTGTTTTGCATTTAATTAATAATTTTATTTTCGAATATAAAGTTTCACCAGAGCCATCTGAACATGTTCCAACATATCCATCGAATCCACCACCAGTACAAACACATGTAACAGTTAGACGTTCATCACATGGATCACTTGGTTAGATTAAGAATTTATTTTATTTTTTTGTATTTGAAATTATTTTCTTTTATTTTAGCAAATGATCTTCAACTTAGTGATACGAGTGATGAAGAATATTAAAATATAATTTTTGTTTTTTTTTTCTTAATTTATATTTACTCAAGTTTTTTGTTTTTGTTAATTCTCTTCTTTTTCTTTATTTCAGATATGACATCAGTAAATAAAGTTGATCGAGCAATTTTATTTTCTCGTATGTTTATATTTAAGAACAAAAAAAAAAGTTCCTTTGTTTTGAAATTTTTAATTTATTTGATTAGAATGTCAATTTTTTATTGATTATCGTTCAAGTCAAAATGGTTGTGATCGATCTCTTCGTTTAGGAAATGAATTAGAAAAAAAATATGGTGCTAATATTGTTGAACAACCACAAGTTTCTTCAACAACACATATTATTTTTAAAAATGGAAATTTAGAAACAAAATTATTTGCAAAAAAATATAATATACCATTGGTTGATCCTATGTGGTTAGAACATTCTATTAAAAAAAGAAGATTAATTAAAATTGATAAATATCAAATTCATAATGATGAAAATCAACGACCAACAGGTTATTTTTTTCTTGAATAAATTCATGAATTAAAACGAAATACTAAGCGTAGTCTTTTATCTAACAAGGAAAGCTCCTCAATTTATAAATATTCCGAAAAGAATTTAAGCTTCTAGCTTATTACTGTCAGCGTATTGAATATTTATGGAATTTTCAATATTTTTTTTAAATTTAATTTCGTTCAGAGACTATTAAGTTTGCGAACAACGATAATTAAGAGTTAAGAGTCTTCTTATTCGGTCACAGATGACTGATTCTGAAAAAAAAAACCATTGATTTTGCAGATGCTATATGGAAACGGTTCTTTATATGGAATACAGTACCCGGTATAAGTGGAGGCGGCCTCTTTTTCTTGTTCAACAATGACTTTTATTTTATCTTTTTGCTCTTGTTTGAACGGGCTAGTCGGATTCATCATCGGGTAAAAATAGGAGTATTTATATTCATTCTGTTATCAATTTATAACTCAATAGAAAAAAGAACCGTTGTTTTAAAGAAAAGACGAGATATTATCTTTCTATAAAGGCAGAACTATTCTCCACATATGTCAAATAGTGATATTTCACGATATCTATACGAATCAGTGAGTAATTGTAAAATGTAGGCTTAAAAGATATGAAATAGCTGGTGACGTATAAGTTGCACAAAAATCCGGTCTATACCGGAAAAACAATACGCAACGGTTCAATCCCTGGTAGCTCAACATTCAATCGAATCTGTCAGTCAAATTGAGTTTAGATTATCACAGAAACATATAAAAATTCAGAATAAACAAAGAATCGTATATATCGATCAATAATTTCATTGAAAGAATGGAGAAACTTAGCTAATGAATTTGTTGAAAATTAGGCGATTCTATGGAAAATAGAGTAGCATTCTTAGTTGAAAGAAAAGGAGATTATTAGGGTGATGTACATATAATAAAACAACTCCTTTGTCTTCTTCATTTTTTCGGTCGCTCCCACTTATGGCGGGTACTGTAGTTGGTTTAAACCAAGGGAGAGACGACGTTCTTCAATGTTTCCTGAAACAAAATAAGTACAAGAGTACAGTAGTAATATACAGTTTGCAGAGTTCTGGGATATAGTGTCATAACTAAGCCAAATTTAGACCTAAATCCAAGAAAGTAAGGATATATTCTTGTATTTCACGTACTCTTTATTTATTAGAGTA